GCAGGTTTGCGGCCCACCTTTGCGCATACACAGAATCCCATTCATTTTAATGGGCTGCTGTGTTTGCGTTTGACGCAGAAAAAGTGTGCCTGCATCATTTTAACAGGAAAAATCGCATGGTGCGGTCACCGCGCCCCCAAATGCACTGTGGGTTGAGATGCATGGGGGTGCCATTAATAATGAATGGCAACCCCCCCCCATCTCTACAGAGCAGCTCGCTTGGCTGCGGGTGTGTGCGGGAACAGCTGCACTTCCTGCATCCCGCTCAAGTGTGAACCTAGACTTGAGGCTGAGGTCTAGTTAAAATGTTTTTCGGTGTAGGGACATAACTTGCCTTTAATGCCGTGTATTCTACCTCCTGCTGGCTGCTGTCAGAATCCTCCTTCTAGGTATGCTGGGGGCATCAGAGCATAGCAGTGAAGTTCTGGTGCTGCATAGGCTAACCACCTCAGCTCTAAGGGTTCATTCACATGTCAATCAGGGGCCGCCACTGTTCTGAAAAGTGAGTGAGGCAATATATCTCCTGATTTAACCCTATCATTGCTTTACTACTGGACCGCAGTCATGTGTATTGCACATGGGTACGGCACAGCCCCATAGAACTGCATTAGTCACATTTGGGGGCGCAATCACATGCTGTTTAAATTTTGCTGCCGTTAATGTATAGCCCTGAGCTGCTATATGTTGATGTTCAGGTGGGTGTTTGAGAGGAGGGGGAAGTAAAACTACTGCTCAACCACCTGGTTTTACTGCCCCCTGGCCGCAAGTGTGGACGAAGGCTAACAGTGAAAGATTACGACACTCACCCCTCCGCTTCTGCCGCACTCGACTACTCGCAAAACGCCTTGTATTTGCTTTCCGTGAATGAAGGAGGGGAATCCTGTCATTTAGCTGCCTCTCCTCCATTCACAGAACGCTTTGCATTCTGTGAAAATGATACAAGAAGATGCTCACAGTGTGCAGTGTAACCAGCGTAAGTAATTTCAGTCCAGGAGAGCAGCCTCTACAACTGCGCAAGACTGAAACTGTTCTTTCAACAAAAAAAAAAAAAATCCTTAAACCAGTTCTCTGTAAAAGAGGAGCTAAGATACTCATCTCTCTGGTTGCGCATATTTGTTGTCTTTGCACCATTTCAGTGCTGCAACCTCTGGCAGGTTTGTCAAGCTAAATTCCAGGTCTGGATATTTTTACTTTGTTTCATTGATCCAGCTTGAACCACGTACTTACAGCATACCTGTGGGATCCATGTGTTAGTAGTCACCACTACTACAGTGATCAGCACTAGCTTCCAGGTCCAGTGTTACTGCCCTGCTGCATTGTGAACACAGGAGGTCACTCACTTAGCATGGGTGCCATTCACTTTGCATTTTCTCAATAAATGTAAAGCATTCTCTGATTGGATCAGGTAGAGTGGTGGCATCACAACCTCTACCTCACCTCATCCAATCAGCGAACACCTTTGCATTCATTAATTGCTTTCCCGCCTCCCTATAGTAGAACTACTGCTACAGGGCGGCAGGGCTACGCAAAATCACATGTATATATACGTAATTTTCATTTCTGGGTAGGGGGCACGTGCGCACCACCCTACCCCCGCCGCCATCATCAGCAGCTAGGGATGTCAATCACTGGGTCCCGGACGGAGATTCTCTGCCGGTACCTGGCGATTGCAAGTAACACTAACAAAGGAGAGACCTGTGTGTAAACAACACAGGTCTCTCTCCTGCCAGCAAGGACATGCTGCTGTGTATTTCTCTGCACAGCAGAGAGATACAGAGCAGCATGTCTCCCTAGTAAATAACACAGCACATGATGTAAAACAGCACACAGTTAACCCTTTGATCGCCCAGATATTAAGCCCTTCCTGCCCAGTGTGAATAGTACAGTGTCAGTGCTTTTTATTAAGCACTGATCACTGTATTAGTGTCAGTGGCACTTAGTTCCCCCCCAGTGTCAGAATGCCCGTTGCAGCCCCACTATAAGTCGCCAATCGCCGCCATTACTAGTATTAAAAAAATATATATATATAGTATCAATACTGCCATTTGTAAACGCTATCACGTAAACCAATTAATTTACACGTATTGGGATTTTTTTTTCAGCAAAGACGGAGCAGAATACATTTTGGTCTAAATTTTATGGAGAAATTTGATTTTTTTTTTTTTTTTCTGGATATGTTTTATTGCAAAAAGTAAAAAATGTTTTTTTTTTTTTTTTCAAAATTGTTGGTCTTTCTTTGTTAGTGCAAAAAATTAAAACCACACAGGCGATCAAATACCACTGAAAGAAAAGCTCTATTGTGGGGAAAAAAGGACGTAAATTTAATTTATGTACAGCATTGCATGACCGCGCAATTTTCAGTTAAAGTAACACAGCGCCATAACGCAAAACATGGCTTGGTCATGAAGGGGGATAAATCCTCTGGAGGGCGAGGGGTTAAGAAAAGTGTTCCTCAAAATGGTATTTGTGCCAAGCGAGCGATCTCCTGTATTCACTATGCAGCAAGGTAGCTGCTCAGCACGGGACCTGGAGGACACTGAGGATCACTTTAGTAGCCATACCTACTACACTGATTTCCAGCGTCCACAGGGAGCGGACGGGTATGACACATACATATGTATATTTGGACAAACTGGACCGTTGTAGCTATGCAGGAAAATGCATCCCTAAACCTCAGCTTTCAGCATTTGATGTTTCTCGGAGTGATGGATTCTTGTGTCCCCAATGCGTTGTGTCATTCTGTCTGCTGACCCCTATGTCACTGCTGTGTCCTGTATAGACATAGATGCAGGGTGGATAAAAATCAATGATTTAAAAAAAAAAAAAAAAAAAATCGGATTTTTTTTATTTAAATCAGATTTTTTTCATTTAAATCAGATTTTTTTTAATTTAAATCAGATTTTTTTTTTGATTTAAATCAGATTTTTTTAAATAAAATGCTTTTTGAGGAAAATATATTACCATCCAAAGGTTATTCCATCATGAAATAAAGATTTGTTTTTTAATTATGTAGAATAAGGCTGTAGATGTTTAATTTTTTTGGTAAATAAATTCCATGAATCCATTCACAATGTCATGCTCTGCCAGAGGTTTTTGTAAGATTATTGGGCAGTTTCTCTGCCTACAAGATATTATCACAGATGTTCGGTTTACTTTTGCAGTTCTCAAAACTGAATTTGACTCAGCGGAGATCACATGCCTCTTCTTCACAGCAAAAATGTTATAACATGAACAGAGTTAAGAAAAAGACCTTCATCCTAACTTCTACAAACCTATGAATACAGAATCAACCCCTTCACTGCTAAGTTTCAAGAAGTTCAGTGAATAGAATAGAAACAATATTTTTCTGATTGTTTGGAGTGGAATAGATCTGCACAAGAAGAAAGTGAAACTAAGTGTGAGGAGGAAGGGGCTGACAGTCTAAGTTTCTTAAAATATATATATTTTGTTTAGCCAAATTAGTTAACAAACATGGATGTTTAAGCAAATCACATATGCTGGAATGTTATTGTTTCAGTTGAATAAATCTATTTAAATTGTTATTATTAAGGTAATGATTATTTTTCTCCTTCCTAAGTACAACAGAAAAGTTGTCCAAATATGAATGATTAACCTATTAAACTGGGGATAAAAAAAACTAATATGAAAAGTTGTTATTCTAAAAATCTTCATCTACTTGCATATTAAAGTTATACCAGCAAGAATTAGTCTTTATGTAGAAAACTAGGATTTAAATCAAGCCTTACTGACTAGTGATTTAAATTGTGATTTAAATCACTTTGATTTAAATCAAATCCACCCTGCATAGATGCCAGGGGACAGAGGACACTGCAGAGGTAAGTATAATACATTTTCTTTTGCGGATCACTTTTTTTTTTTTTTTTTTTTTTAAACTGTATAAAATAATCCTTAACATGTTAATGTCATTTTCAACATCTCTAAATCTGCACCTTCATTAAAATAGTACCTCTTGCGCTTTTCAAGATCTTTGTTCAGGTACTTCCTGTTATGGGATGACAACCCTTTTTCTTGCTGTCCTTCTGCGTTGTCACCCTGTCACACGTGATTACAAGTTGCCATGCCAATGCTTTTTTATTCAGCCATGGTCCACTGTTGTCATTATCATGGACCCCTTCTGGGAATTACCATGCAGCCTGGGCTAGATCAGGTTTATGTAGAGAGGAAAGGGCTGCAAATAGGCTGGAGGAGATAGCAGCATTGAAAAAGGAAGAGAAAAGATGAAAAGAGGGCAAATGTTTATGATTGCGCTTTTGAAAATTGTCATCTGTTACAGAGTAAGATGTATTTTAACAAAGGGAAAAGAAAAAATCTTCCCTGCTTGTACTGCTTCACCCGTCGGGTTGCTATGAGCTGCAGTTTGTGTGACTTGCAGTTACATTTAGTTGATGAGACCTTTTATTTGCTCATCTTGAGGATTTTGTAGATGGGAAACATTGGGGGAGAATTGTGAGATGGGGAGCAGGGTCATCCTCCACCATGCCGTAACACCCTGGTATTTTTTTCGTACCTTTTTTTCAGAAGTCTTTTTTTTGCCTTTTCTGTGACATCATGGCAGCTTTTTCCCATCCCGGCAGTGGAGTGGGTTCATTCTTCCAAGACGTAATGATGTTTTAACATCCTTTTTTTTTTTTTTTTTTTTCTTTCTTATGATAAAGTGGTAAAGGGCTAGCAGTATGGGGAAAGGTAGAACCTTTGTCAGGTTTGATTTCTGTCTGTATCTTTCGGATACCCATCGTTCTCTTTTCAATGCTTTCATAACAAAAGAAAATGCTTTATAGCAGCCATTGTCAACCAGGGTTCCTCCAGAGGTTTACACTGGGGGTTTTTTTGAGCTGTGACCTCCCAACTGATGGTACCTGCATGGTTCTGGATCCAGTGCCACTAGGCAGAGCCAGCAGAATGACACCAGTGATCTTTTTTAGCTGTCTGTAAGAGTGGCATTCTGATTACCACTGTAAGGAACATTGTTCACCATAACCACCAATGTAAGGGACATTCTTCCCACTGACCACCAATGTAAGGGGACATTCTTCCCACTGACCACCAATGTAAGGGGACATTCTTCCCACTGACCACCAATGTAAGGGACATTTTTCCCACTGATCATGAATGTAAGGGACATTCTTCCCACTGATCACCAATGTAAAGGACATTCTTCCCACTGACCATCATTTGTAAAGGACATTTTTCCCACTGACCACCAACGTAAAGGACATTCTTCCCACTGACCACCATTGTAAAGGACATTCTTCCCACTGACTACCAGTGAAAGGGACATTCTTCCCACTGACCATCGTTGTAAAGGACATTCTTCCCACTGACTATCAATGTAAAGGGCATTCTTCTTCCCACTGACTATCAATGTAAAGGACATTCTTCCCACTGACCGCCAATGTAAAGGACATTCTTCCCACTGACCACCAATGTAAGGGCATTCTTCCCGCTGACCATCAATGTAAAGGACATTCTTCCCATTGACCATCAAGGCAAAGGACATTCTTCCCACTGATCTCCAATGTAAGGGACATTCTTCCCACTGACCATCAATGTAAAGGACATTCTTCCCACTGACCACCAATGTAAAAGGTATTCTTCCCATTGACCATCAATGTAAGGGACATTCTTGCCACTGATCACCAATGTAAAGGACATTCTTCCCACTGACTACCAATGTAAAGGACATTCTTCCCACTGATCACCAATGTAAAGGACATTCTTCCCACTGACTACCAATGTAAAGGACATTCTTTCCCACTGACCATCAATGTAAAGGACATTCTTCCCACTGACCATCAATGTAAAGGACATTCTTCCACTGACCATCAATGTAAAGGACATTCTTCCCACTGACCATCAATGTAAAGGACATTCTTCCCACTAACCATCAATGTAAAGGACATTCATTTCTTCCCACTGACTACCAATGTAAAGGACATTCTTCCCACTGACCACCAATGTAAAGGACATTCTTCCCACTAAACCATCAATGTAAAGGACATTCTTCCCACTGACTACCAATGTAAAGGACATTCTTCCAACTGACCATCAATGTAAAGGGAATTCTTCCCACTGACCATCAATGTAAAGGGAATTCTTCCCACTGACCATCAATGTAAAGGGCATTCTTCCTACTGGCCATCAATGTGAAGGACATTCTTCCCACTGGCCATTCTGCTGTAGGAGAATGCAGGACCCCTGACCCCTGTCTGGACAGTGCTGATTGGCCCTGTGCTGATCACATGCACTCTCCCAAGAAAAATAAAAAACTAGCAATACAAACCAAACATAGCATGTGCAGAGTGCCTCTTAGGGTTTTGTACTATCAGCAGATGGAGTGGGGACTGTGGAAGAACGGGAGGCTCAGAGAAGACAGGATCAAACAGCCTTTTTTCGCAATGCAGAGGATTAACCCCTTAGGTCCCATAGTGTATATAAGAAGCTTGAGTAACTGCATATGCAAACTTATTGTGCTGTTGAGGGTTTAGCAACACTTTAAACTCCAGTAGGACACAGATGTCACAAAAGAAATTGAAAGGGTTTTTTTTGTTTGTTTTTTGGATTTTTGGGTTTTTTTTTGTCCTCTACTCCATTCTTTATCTGGCTACCATGACACCCTGGGCTTTCATCTGTGTTCATCATGGCTGTCATGGGGTCACAGGTGTTTGCACACAACACCCCTAAGAGTCTTGTGAATGACATCCTGGGCTCACATGAAATGAGCAGATGGCCTTACAGTGCTGGACCAAGTCAGGGACAGAGCTGGAGCATGGCGAGGGTAAGTATGAATCAGAAACATTTTATTTTTTTTATCATGGATGATGGAGAACACACAACAATAATCTGGAGTTCTACTTTAAATATAACATACAAGATCCATTTCCAGCAGAAACTGTGAATCATGTGGAAGTGGGATTTGACTTCTGAGCCCAGCCAAGTACAGTATGATAGAGCCAAACAGTTGTCACGCACGTCTTCATAAACAGGGCATCGTCCTCTGGAAATGTCACTTTCAGATGGGCTGGCTCCAGCTACTGTGCCCTCCTCCTGCAGCAGGTTTAAAGCTGTGCAGGAGGAGTCTGCTTAGACAGTGAGATGGAACTATTGGAACAAGAGGGAGTCCTACTAAGAGACAACGAGGGGACAACTGTCATTGCAGGTAGGGAAGAAGGGCAATGACAGTCTTTTAGTTGGTTCATCTCTCTGCTCCTTTCCTACACCTTTTCTGGATCTAGATGGCTCTGATTTCCGTTTTAGCCTGTCCCGCTGTTCCACGGTTGTTGGTGTGCTTGCTCTCTCTCCTCTGCTCATGGTGACCTTTCCTCTCTTGTGACACTTTTCTTACATTTTTCTCAGAAGTTGTAAACTAGATAAGAGATTTGGAAAGTGCAGCTGCCCTCCAGATGTGTGGGTTGGGGGAGGATCGTACTGCTGTTGCTTCACTCTACATCAGCCTTTCTCAACCTTTTTATTAAGGAGGAACCCTTGAAAAAATTTTTCTGGGTCTCAGGGTTAAACCTGGTAATATTTACTAAAATCTACGGCACATGGTACATTACTGTAATGACAAGTGGGAAGAATGTCCCATGCATTGGTGGTCAGTAGGAGGAATGTCCCTTACAGTGGTATCAGTGGGAAGAATGTCCCTTACCTTGGTGGTCAGTGGGAAGAATGTCCCTTACATATGGGTGGTCAGTGGGAAGAATGTCCCCTTACAATTGGTGATCAATGGGAAGAATGTCCCTTACATTGGTGGTCAGTGGGGGAAAAGAATGTCCCTTACATTGGTGATCAATGGGAAGAATGCCCCCTTACATTGGTGATCAGTGGGAAGAATGCCCTTTACATTGGTGGCCAGTGGGGAAGAATGCCCCTTACATTGGGGATCAGTGGGAAGAATGCCCTTTACATTGGTGGCCAGTGGGAAGAATGCCCCTTACATTGGGGATCAGTGGGAAAAGAATGCCCTTTACATTGGTGGCCAGTGGGAAGAATGCCCCTTACATTGGGATCAGTGGGAAGAATGCCCTTTACATTGGTGGCCAGTGGGAAGAATGCTCCTTACATTGGTGATCAGTGGGAAGAATGCTACCTTACATTGGTGATCAGTGGGAAGATTGCTCCTTACATTGGGGATCAGTGGGAAGAAATGCCCCTTTACATTGGTGGCCAGTGGGAAGAATATGCTCCTTACATTGGTGATCAGTGGGAAGAGAATGCTCCTTACATTGGTGATCAGTGGGAAGAATGCTCCTTACATTGGTGATCAGTGGGAAGAATGCCCCTTACATTGGTGATCAGTGGGAACAATGCTCCTTACATTGGTGATCAGTGGGAAGAATGCCCCTTACATTGGTGATAAGTGGGAAGAATGCTCCTTGCATTGATGGTCAGTGGGAAGAATGCCCCTTACATTGATGCTCAGTGGGAAGAATGCTCCTTGCATTGGTGATCAGTGGGAAGAATGCTCCTTGCATTGCTGATCAGTTGGAAGAATGTCCCTTACATTCTTACATTGGTGATCAGTGGGAAGAATGCCCCTTACATTCTTACATTGGTGATCAGTGGGAAAGAATGCCCCATACTTTGGTGATCAGTGGGAAGAATGCCCCTTACACATTGGTGGCCAGTGGGAAGAATGCTCCTTACATTGGTGATCAGTGGGAAGAATGCTCCTTACATTGGTGGCCAGTGGGAAGAATGCTCCTTACATTGGTGATCAGTGGGAAGAATGCTCCTTACATTGGTGATCAGTGGGAAGAATGCTCCTTACATTTGTGATCAGTGGGAAGAATGCCCCTCACATTGGTGGTCAGTGGGAAAAATGCTCCTTAAAGTGGCTGCAAAGGCTCAAGGTTTTTTACCGTCATGCATTCTGTGCGTGCCAGTAGGGGACCTGAGAAGAGGAGGATCAGGGCTGCTTTGTGCAAAACCACTGCACACAACAGGTAAGTATGACATGTTTGTTATTTTAAAAAAAAATAATTTTAATATCACTTTAAATTGGTGGCCAGTGGGAAGAATGGTCCTGGTCACTGGGAAGAACTTTGGTGGTCACTTGGAAGAATTCTCCTTAAAGTGGCTGTAAAGGCTTAAGTTTTTTTTTACCTTCATGCATTCTATGTGCAGCAACCCCCTAATACTTACCTGAGCCCCCGTTGCAATCCAATGATGTGTACGAGAGCCTCAGCTCTTCAGGGACATTCCCTCCTCATTGTCTGAGACAACAGGGGGGAGCTATTGGCTCCTGCTGCTGTCACTCAGCCAGTGAGCCAATGTGTAGAGAGGAAGGGGGGGGGGGGGACAAGCCACGGCTCTGTGTGTGAATGGACACAAAGCAGTGGCTCGGGAGCAAGCCTGCTTGGGTGCCTCCATAGCAAGCTGCTTACTCGTTGGGGGGCACTTGGCAGGAGGGACGGGCCAGGAGAGCCAGCAGGCTACCCAAGGAGAGGAGGATCGGGGCTGCTCAATACAAAACCATTACACGGAGCAGGTGAGTATGACATGTTTGTTATGTTTTAAAAATTGCCTTTAATATCACTTTTAAATTGGTGGCCAGTGGGAAGAATGCTTCTTACATTGGTGGTCAGTGGGAAGAATGCTTCTTACATTGGTGGTCAGTGGGAAGAATGCTTCTTTCCTTGGTGGTCAGTAGAAAGAATGTCCTTCTATTGATGATGAATGGGAAGAATGCTCCTAACATTGGTGGTCAGGAGGAATAATGCCCCTTACATTGGTTGTCAGTGAGATGAATGTCCCTTAAATTAGTGATCAGTAAGAAGAATGCAACTTACATTGATGGTCCGTAGGAAGAATTTCCCTTTTACAGATAGTTGAAAAGCTCTGATTGGTACCAGAGGTTATTTATCTGAGAAGCGGACATTTTTCATTGCTCAAGAAACCCCTAGCAACCTCTGAAGGAGCCTTGGTTGAGAGAGGCTGCTCTACATATTTGCTGTGGCTGCCTCTGGGAAGGGGATCAGGTCTGTCACCACGTTTTATTATTGCATGGCTGAATGTAGCAAGCCTGGAGCTGTTGTATTTTCTCATCTAGATATATTGAAAGATAAGCATGTTTCCTGTCCATTATATTTATTCAACAGACTTGTTAGTCATGTAGATGTTTGTGGCTAAACCATTTTACCCGAGACCTGTTTTTTGCTCCTGTTAATAGATAAATCTGCCCCTGATGTCTGCAGAAAGTTTAGAGTTGTAGTGATACCATTAATTGGATAAATTACGTTATTAAATATGCAAACTTTTAGTATAATTTTGATAATTTCACCAGGCTTTATACCCTTCTGAGAAATGACGCTGACACCCATAAGCCCATAACACGCTCTAAAGGCGTCCAGGAGTAAGCGCACTCCACTGTCCATTTACACCTGACTACCCTCTGATCCCATCCACCCAAATGGAAGAGGATGGATCCCCTTCTGTTTTTTTCTTTTTTTTTCCTTTTTAGTGGACCAGATCACACCCTGAGTTAGGTGTGTGTGACCTTCTGAAAAACTGACAGGCAGACCTGATCAGATCGCCCATGTGAAAGGGGTCTTTGACTCCTGAGGTACATCCCAGGTCTTTTAAGTTATTATGGATATAGATATATATACTAACTATACTATATATATAGATATAGTCCATCATGACTGCCACTGCCAGACTCCTCCACCTTACCAACCATTCGGTGTCTGCCATTCCCTCCATTGACTGCCACTCACCCAACAAATTACATTCAAAATATTAACAACAACTTAGATAGCCATCCACAACTCTGCTCCAAATACCAACCAAAATGTTCTCTTCGTTCCTTCCAGACCTCCTGCTCTCTAGCTCCCTTGTCACCTCCTCTCATGCTCGCCTCCAGGACTTCTCCCGAGCCTCTCCCATTCTGGGGAGTTCCCTACCCCAATCTGTCCGACTATCTCCTACTCTGTCCACTTTTAGGCTATCCCCCAAAAATCTTTCTCTTCCATTTACTAAATGTACATGTATTTTCTCCATCAGCTCCTCCCCCACGGTTATTACCTTTTGTATCACTCCCCCTGATTCCTACTGTATGAAATTGTATTGTAACTGTACTGTCTGCCCTCATGTTGTAAAACATTGCGCAAACTGTTGGCGCTATATAAATCCTGTATGATAATAATAGATATATTCTCTCAGGGATGTACAGATTCACTTTGGTCCAAACCCAGCCAGTCTTCTCTAGGAACCAGAACACAATTTTAAAAAGGTGCAATGGAATGGAACAATGGAATTTTATATGTTAGGCTGGCCAGAAATGTTATTCAATCTATTGCATCTGCAGTGCTTTATTGGAATGTACAGGAAGCCAAAACTTTTTTTCGCTCTAGAATGGTGAAGGGCTTAACACCACTTTCTTCTGTCTGTGGACCACTGGAGAGATTTTCCTTCACCTCCTGCCCTAGAGACACAACAGCAAATGAGAGTGACTTTTGGATTTCCCATCATTTTCTGTCTTGGTGACAATGGTCACCAGGGCAAATAGACTCCCTAGCATGGACACAGCAATAAAAACCTGATTTAAAAAGTCTAACCGTGCTATATTTAAGAACAAAAAAAAAATCACTTTAACTTACAATTTGTAATGTGAGGTTTTCATCCCCAATAACAACAACTTGGGGATCATCCACTGACGTAAGATTGTTGGACATCATGCCAATGGGACCTGAACCAAGTTACTGGCCTCTCATGTCTACTGAGTCCCTATAGGAGACAGCTGTCAATTTGAAGGCATTTTGGCAACCTGGCTCCTGAGACTTATTTTTATTCTAACACAGTGGTCTCGAAACTGTGGTCCTTTGCATACCTTTATATGGCCCTTGGGGCACTATTCCTTCCACTGACACCAACGATGGGGCACCATTCCTCTAACATGATACCAATGATGTGGCAATATTCCTCCCACTGACGCCCATGATGGGACACTATTCCTTCCATGGACACCAATGATGGGGCACTATTCCTTCCACTGACACAATGATGGGGCAATTCCTTCGATGACACCAATGATGGGGCACTATTCCTTCCACTGACACCAAATGATAGGGCACTATTCCTTTTCACTGACACCAGTGATGGGGCACTATGCTTTCCACTAACTCCAACGATGGGGCACTATTCCTCTGACACCAGTAATGGGACAGTATTCCTTCCACTGACACCAATGATGGGGCACTATTCCTTCCACTGACACCAATGATGGGGCACTATTCCTTCCACTGACTCCAACGATGGGGCACTATTCCTCTAACTGACACCAGTAATGGGGCAATACTCCTTCCACTGACACCAATGATGGGACACTATTCCTTCCACAGACACCAATGATGGGGTACTAATATTTCCCCTAATACCAAAGATGGGACATTGTTCACTCCCACTGATGCCAGGACATTTTTTCTACTCTCACTGGACATGATCTGGCCCCCTAAAGTCTGAAGCACAGTAAATTGGTACTTTGTTCAGAAAGTTTTCAGACCCCTGTTCTAAAGGATGATGAATCCAGGCTAGCCATTGGATTTAGCATACCTTTAAGGTGCAACCTGTCATGTGCGAAATATTGAGGATGCTACTGAAAATGCTAGCTGCCGGGCTGAATGTTGAGGCTTTCGCTCCAGTACTCTGAGACGTTGATACTGGAGAAAAGTATAGAAATTCTGATTTTTCTAGATTTTATTCCAGGTTTTATTTGCTGCATACTACTTTTGGATCCGTGACACAGGTGTATTTTTATTTTATTTTTTTAACATATGTTCTTCAGTGTTGTGTTTCTTTTAATTGTTCTATAGCATGGGTGTCAAACTGGCGGTCCTCCAGCTGTTGCCAAACTACAAGTCCCATGAGGCATTGCAAGACTGACAGTTACAAGCACGACTCCCAAGGGCAGAGGCATGATGGGACTTGAGGTTTCGCAACAGCTGGAGGGCCGCCAGTTTGACACCCCTGTTCTATAGGGTCAAATGGACAGCCACGTGTAGTTCTTTTATATTATGTGTATTATTACAGCACCATTACTGTATTTGACTTCTCCTTTCTTACTAAAAACCTATGTAGAGCTCTTCCATATGAATTTTATTGAAGGCTATGGAAGGGTCCGTTAATAATATCTTCCTAAAGTGAAGAATGATACCCTAATTTTTAGTGGTCATTTGGCAAGGATGCTCAATCCACCGAAATGGCAGTTTTTTTTTTTTTATATAAGAGAATGTGTATTTTACTATTTCTGTATAAATATGTCGATGCTTCTGGTGCTTAGAAAACATGAAGATCTTTAATAGAAAGGTGATACGTGGCCACCTGGGAAACCTTTCTGGCCCATGATTGTGCTTGCCTTAGAACGTGTTTCCTGTGGTATTGGATAATGAGATTTGTGTGTGTTTTTTTTTCTCATTTTAGGCGTGGTGTTCGTGCCTCCCGAGCAGATGGACCCCCGGCCCTTGTTCCAGGCCGTGGACACCTTGTGCCAGGATAACATTAAGCACTTTGGAGAGTCTAAAACTGAGGTGGGCTCCCGCTTGGTGCAAGCCTTCTCCCGGATCCAAGAACAGGCACATGGAGTTGAACCGGCCCTACGTGCCCTGGCTGCAGTTTGCCCACTTTTTGACCTAGACCCCAACACTCCAGCCAATGGATACCGAAGTCTGCTGAAGGTGGTACTCTCCTGTACCCAGCACATCCTACACAAGTGCCGCTACATCACAACCAGCCGCCACAGCCTCTTCTTCCGAGCCGCCCACAACTGCGCTGAGCTAGAAGCGTATGGTGCTGCTCTCACCCAACTCCGAGCCCTGCTCTGTTTTGCACAGCGGCTACTGACTGCCAACCACCATGGGGATCTCTTCTTCCGGCAAGAGCGAGGCCTGTCCGAAGAGTTCCTTCGAGAGTACAGCACCATGCACAAAGGCTGCTTCTATGGACGCTGTATGGGGTTTCAGGTGAGGTCCTGGTTGTTTTTTGTTTTGGTTTTTTTTTTTCATTTTTTATGCTTTTCCTTATTTTATTTTTTTTTTCATTTTTTGTTTTGTTTTTTGTTTTTTTTAAACACCTTTTTATGGAATAACAAAATTTCCAGGGAAATAAGAAGGTAATCGGTAGCAACATGTAAACCTGGAGCTACTAGATTTCAGTTGGCTTTTTCCATTGACTTGGGTGGCATATCTACAGTATGGTTCCTGTTATTTTTTGGGGTTTTTTTTTTTTTATACAGTTTTAAACTCCCTGGCGGTATGATTATTTCAGATTTTTGGTGCTGAAAGCGGTACCATTTTTTTGCATGGAAATATGTATTTTTTTTATTGTAGGCTGTAATTTTTAGGAAAAACTCACTGAAATCTGTCCGAAAAAGAGTCTAGTAAACATCCCGGGTATGATAAAATTTGAAACACAAAATCATAAATTATAATTTAATAAATAATCATAAAAATAATATAAAAATAATAAAATATTTAATTCAATAATATAATCAAACCAAAAACACTGAAATGTGAAATAGAGCGCCAAGTTCGCACATTGCTGAGCTCAGTCGCAAAAATCGTTTTCAGTTTTCTGATGACGAATTTCCCCCACGAATCATTATCACTCAATTCTGCAAGTGGTTCTGATTTACTATCGCTGTTCTCTAGCCGGTCTAAACCGCTTTTGACCTAAAGGGACACTTTTTGGACGCCATGGACATTTCTCAGTTTCCAGGCAGAAAGAACAGACAAAATGCAGGCAGGGCGCCGGACAAAGCACTCGGGACAAAATGTATGTGAAATAGGTTGAAACAGCAATGTTTTACTGTGTAAAATGAAAAAAAAAAAAAAAATGACATTTTTTAAAATTTTTAAATTTCCGCGCCCCGGCGGCGCCCGTACGTCCCGACGTCACAGGGACCGGAACACAGAAGCCGGATGCCGGCATCGGCCGAGGAGATGGCCGGGGACGCTGCAGGGGACACATCGTGGGAGCGCAGGGTAAGGTAAGTGAAGAACACATGCCGGAGCAGCGCCGCATGGTATTCCCGAGTGAAGCTCGGGGTTACCGCTTTTGGTACTGAAATGTTACCCCGAGCTACACTCGGGAATACCGCCAGGGAGGTTAATGGGACAATTTTGTACTATATTTAGTTTCAGTTTTACCTTGTATCTTGTTTTTGTTTGTTTTCTTTTCCCCCACTGTGATGTCTACAATTTACATATGCTGTCATGGTACTTTCCATTGGAATTTTTCCTGTTCCCGGCAATGAGCCACCTCTGTCCCTGACCTTCCAGGGAACCTTGATCTTCTCTCCGTATGTGTGACAATGACATCACAATGTGTTATCAGTGCCAGAGATAAGATAGGACACAGATTTTATGGAGTTCATCCAGCTGTATGACTTTCTATCTCTGTACCTTTCCAACTAAGCCATGGCCACTCTCATTGTCACTGTATTAGGACCATATTCGTGGACATACAGTGGGTATAGAAATGAATCACCCACCCTTTAAAATAATCGCATTTTGTTGCTTTTCAGCCTGAACTTAAGACAGACACAGTTTGTTTTATCCAGCTGTATTTACTCAGTGCAACTTATAACATCCAAGTTTAAGATATAACACCAACATAACAGAAAACTAAAAAAAATTCAAAAACAGAATCTTGGAGTTGGAAAAAGGATCCCCCTTGTGTCAGTATTTTGTCGAACCACCTTTTGCTTTAACCACTTGCCCTCCTGAGGATTTACCCCCCTTCCTGACCAGGCCTCTTTTTGCTACTCGGCGCTGCACTAATTCAACTGATAATTGCGCAGTCATGCAATGCTGCACCCAAATGAAATTTACGTCCTTTTTTTCACACAAATAGAGCTTTCTTTCGGTGGTATTTGGTCACCTGTGCGCTTTTTATTTTTCACGCTATAAACAAAAAAATACCAAAAATTTTGAAGAAAAACAATATTTTTTACTTTCAGCTATAAAAAATAGTTAGTTATAAATTTAGGCCAAAATGTATTCTGCTCCATGTTTTTGGGAAAAAAAATCCCAATAAGTGTATATTGATTGCTTTGTGTGGAAGTTATAGTGTCTACAAACTATGGTATAGATACTGCAATTTACGCCATTTTTTTGCTATACAGCGCTGCGCTAGTTTAACGGACATTTGCGCGGTCATGCAATACGGTACATAAATTAAATTTACCTCCTTTTTTTCCCACAAATTGAGCTTTCTTTCAGTGGAATTTGATCGCCTGTGCGTTTTTTATTTTGTGCGCTATAAAAAAAAAAAGGCTGACAATTTTGCAGAAAAAAAACAATATTTTGGACTTTTTGCTATAAAACATGTCCAGTAAAAAAAAAAATTTTAAAATCAAATTTAGTCATAAATTTCTGCCAAAATGCATTCTGTGACATGTCTTTGCTAAAAAAAAAAAAACCCAATACGTGTAAATTAATTGGTTTATGTGAAAGTTATAGCGTTTACAAATGGCGGGAAAGATACTGGGATTTTTAATCTTTTTGTATACTAATAATGGCGGCGATCAGCGACTTATGGTGGGACTGCGGGACTACAGCGGGAATTCTGACACTGGGGGGGAACTGACTTGGGGTCACTGACATCCCCAGTGACACCAATGCAGTGATCAGTGCAAAAAAAAAAACACTGACACTGTACTAATGGCACTGGGGAGGAAGGGGTTAACTTTATTATCCAGTGAAAGGGTTAACTGTATGAGGGGAGTGTTTTACTAGGGGGCGGGGGTGTGTACTGCACGGAGACACACTGATCCGGACAGATACACTCTTCTGTCCTGATCAGCGTGTCAGGAGCTGTCAGGGAACTGACAGAAAGCACAGCTACTGCAGCTGTGCTCTCTGTCACTGATTGCAGCTAATCGCCAGGACATAGCCGGTAACGACCGGCTGTGATCCGGCGACTGACATCCGCAGTTGTGATCGGCGGGACAGGTAGGGCGGCGGCGCGCGCCCCCTACCTGTTTTTTGAAAACACACGTTTTAAAACGTGGTTTTGCCCAGCTGTGCCGCCCTGCCACCGTATTTCTACAGTGGCTGGGTGGCATGTGGTTAATTCCAGCCTGTAGTCTGTTGGGATATGTCTCTACTAACTTTGCACATCTAGACTTTGTGATATTTGCCCACTCTTCTTTGCAGAACTGCTGAAGTTCAGTTAAATTTGATGGTGACCGTTCGTGGACTGCAGTCTTCTAGTCATTCCACAGATTTTCAATGGGGTTTAAGTCTGGGCTCTGACTAGGCCATGCAAGGACATTCACTTTTCTCCTCTAACCTCTGTGTGCTCATTTTTGCTGTGGGATTTGGGTCATTGTCATGTTGGAAGGTGAACCTTCTTCCTATTGACAACTTTCTGGCAGAGGGCAGCAGATTTTCCACAAGAATGTGACGGTATTTTTTCCTTTCCATATTTCCTTCTATCCTGACAAGTACTCCATTCCCTGCTGCAGAGAAACCCCCCATAACAGGATATTCCCACCTCCATGCTTTACTGTAGGAATGGTGGTATTTGGATGGTGAGCTGGATTGGATTTCTGCCAGACATATCGTTTAGTGTTGAGGCCAGATCATTCAATTTTAGTCTCATCTCACCAGAACACCTTTTTCCATGTGGCCTCAGAATCTTCCAGGTGCATTCTGGCAAAGCTCAGTTGTGCATGCGCACTTCCACTTCCTACTAATAGACTTCACTTCACTATCAAAGGCTTGATAAAGCCTTTGACATTTTTTTTGTATCCATCTCCTGACTTGTGCCTGTCCAGCTCTATCCCTGAGATCTTTTGACAGTGCCTTGCCACCCATAGTTGATTGTTTGCTTCAGTTACCAGTGACTGAAATGCTCCATGAAAGCTCTTTTCATGCTGAGCTAATCAAAATGACCACAGCTGATCACAGTTGAAAGTCAAATGGCTTTTTGTGCCATTGAGAAGGTGATTAGCTATACCTGATTGAGTTACAAGTCATTTTTAGGAGGGGGTGATCTTTTTTCCAACTCAGTGGTTCTGTCTATGATTTTTTTTTTTTTAATTTGTGACATATTGGTGTTCTATCTTTCACTTGGATGTAAATACAGCTGAAGTAAATACAGCTGGATAAAACAAAAACGGTGTCAGTCTTCATTTCAGGCTGCAAAGCAATATAATGTGGTTATTTTAAAGGGGGAGTGATTCTTTTCTATACATACTGTAAGTGTATTATCTAGGCATGCAACGGTACAAAGAGTTATTAAAGGAAACCTGCATTGAACGTAATACTTGTAGAAGACACAAACGTTGCTGTTGCTAGACTCTGAGGATATTACACATGACAGGTCCCAGAAGACTGCCAGACTATTCGCAATGCACAGTGCAGTGGGCACCCGGCTTTGAAGCCGGAAGCTGTCACAGCTGGGTTCCCATTGTTAAGATGTCGGTACCTGGGACAGGAGACTGCTGAAAAGAACAGATGAAGTGAGCACATTGCTGGATCGTGGAACAGGTGAGTGGCATTTTTTAAAAGTCAGCAGCTACAGTTTTTGTAGCTGTTGACTTTTAATTTTTTTTTTTTACAGGAAACAGTCTCACCACATGTGGTGTGAGCCTAGCCTAAATGCAGTGCTGTTCCTTTGTTGCACTGTTATCAGTTACACTGTTCCTAGCTATCCATGTAGAGCGGTGTTTCTCAACCTTTTTTCAGTCAAGGCACCCTTTAAACTTATGGACAGTCCCGAGGCACCCCATTCTAATATGTGAAAAACTATTCGAACAGCAACATCCACACATGTAGGACACCCAACATTAGAGGTGATTTATTCTTCCAAAGCAAATACACTTTTGCACACTGGTACTGACTAGTATTCACATGTTTTTCTTCTCCCTCAGTTTTACTCCATTACTGAGCTAATGGGACCCCAGCATTGATGGAGAGGGGCAGGAGAGGGTCAAACTAGGATGCTGTGCAGGCAG